TAGTTGTCCTCGGTGGCAAATTACTCTTTTTTTTTTAAATTGCCTTATTAGGGGCTCATACAACTCTTATCGCAATCCATCCATGCATCAGTTGTGTAAAGCACATTTGTCCTCTACTCTTCTAACCACTGGCGACCAAACAAGGAATAAAACACAAAAACTGCATTCATTTATACAGTTAATCTTCTGGTAAATGAGAGTAAATACTTACACAATGATTAACACATACTCAACTGTTCTAAGAATCATATATGTTTTCTAGTAAATATGTACCAGTGTTAATTCTAAGAAATTTGTATCTATTACCTTAGTAGAAATGTTAAATATGAATTTTATTCTGCACTGAAATAGGCAATGTATAGCTGATCTGAGGTAGCTGAGATATGGCAGGTGCCCTGAGCAGCCTGGGAGGGGGAGGGGCACCAAGGAGCAGTTTCTGTTAGCTGTTGAAGTTGCCTTTGTGAGCAGTGAGGGGTCACTCAACAATTTAAAACAAGTTGCCAAAGGCGCTGTTTCCCCAAAGACATGCTTCTGTCTGAGATGTAGAGCAGTGGAGGGACTTTCCCAAGGTCCTAGAGCTAGTAAGAGGCCTAAAGGGAAATTGAACTCATACTCTTGGACTTAAAACTATATTCTACCTCCTTAGGACAATCAGGGAAACAACTTTGACATCTGCTTCATTAATGATGTGGATAAAATAGATAAGTCTCTGGAGAGGTCTTTCCTGACGATGACTCTTGATGTAGTAGCCTTGCACTTGCATATCCCGGTCCCTCTGTCCTGTTCTGTTTCCATCAGAGCACTCATCATACTATAGTAAATGTCTTGTCTCATTTCATTATTTTTCTATGGATCCATCCATACTCTTCTCCACACATTAATGTTTTCTGTCACCCTGAGCCCAGAAAAAGATACACTCCACGAGGGTATGGGGCTTAGAGTGTACTTCACACCGAGACCTAGAGAAGTTCCTAGAACATATTAGGCACTCAGTAATAAACATATAATAGATGGATAAATAAATAAATAAATATATGTATATATATATAAATATATCTTCAAGTGGCAGGGAAACATTCGGAAATGCTTAATCACCAGTAGTTCTACAATAGCATCTCTGGAAGGTGTGACTATAGGTCATTTACTTCTTTTTCCACTTCATTTTTGCCTTATTTTCTATAGTTAACAATTTAAATAATAATTTGCACACACACACACACACTCTGCAGGTCTCAGAAGACTGGATTTTACCTAGGCTTGTATATGGGTGAACAATGCAGATATTTTGAGCATGCACAAAATAGAAAGTCCAAATGTGACTGTATTCTCTTTGTCTTAAGATGCTCAGAATTTGAGTCAAAGCTTGAGAGCTACAACAGAGATCTTGAAACCTTCAGGAAGCGTGAAGTTATGTCTACAGAAGAGATGAAGAACAATGTTGAAAAGCTTAATGAGTTATCAAAGAACCTGGAACAAGCACTGATGGAATTTGAGGTTTGAAGTCTTGAGACGAGGAATTTGGACTTAGTACAAACTTAATGGTTCTGGTCCTTGCTCTAATATGTTTCTGAAAGAACTTGTCAGGTGGATAGTGTGGATGATAGATTTACCATTTTTTTAATGGGTTCATTCAACTAATTTTAACTGTGCCCCCATATTATGCCAAGTTTTTCGTTAGTCATAGATTACACAAAGAAATGGAAATAGAGTAATTGCTCATGTACCTTATATAATGAACATTTGCTATGTGATATCTCAATGCCCATAAAAAGTCTTTGTGGTAGGTACTCATTTATTAAATAACAAAGTGGGAGGTTTATATTTATATATATTGATATATCATCTATATCTATATTTATCCTTAAAGTAGGTCAGACTTAATGAAGTTAAGTGTCCCCAAAGGCCAGCTAGTAAGTTGCTTAACCATTGAAGTTCTTACCCTTAAGGTAAATCAGTAGAAGAAAACAATATCATTTAAATGGCTAACGTAAAAATTAAAAATGTGAAAATAGAGATATGAATATGATACCCTGGAAGCAAAGGTGATGAAGTAAGTAACTTCAACCAGTTAGATTTCAGCTTCCTTGGCCCGCTAAGGTCACAGAGATCGGCTTACTTGAATCCATACCTTGTTTTCTTCCTTTCTTTTT